CGTCTTGTACATACCAGTTGCGTGGCATCTGGGAGTATGGGTTCGAGTCACTTCTGGGGTGTGAGTTTTCAGTTGCATATTGTCCTGGGGACCATTCAGGCTTGTTCGCATTTGTGTTCCTCACGTGTGCCCCAAAGAATGAGGTGATTTGGTAAAATGCTATGCCCAAGATTACTATCCGAGTGCCGGCGGTGGGGTGGTTCAAATAGCCTCGGCTATCACCTCATTATGTCCGGTCGTGATGGTCAAGTGGATTAAGGCGTCTTGTACATACCAGTTGCGTGGCATCTGGGAGTATGGGTTCGAGTCACTTCTTGGGGTGTGAGTTTTCAGTTATATATATATATATATATATATATATATATATATATATATATATATATATATATATATATATATATATATATATATATATATATGTCGTACCTAATAGCCAGAACGCACTTCTCAGCCTACTATTCAAGGCCCGATTTGCCTAATAAGCCAAGTTTTCATGAATTAATGTTTTTTCGTCTACCTAACCTACCTAACCTAACCTAACATAGCTTTTTTTGGCTACCTAACCTAACCTTACCTATAAATATAGGTTAGGTTAGGTTAGGTAGGGTTGGTTAGGTTCGGTCATATATCTACGTTAATTTTAACTCCAATACAAAAAAATTGACCTCATACATAGAGAAAAGGGTTGCTTTATCATTTCATAAGAAAAAAATTATAGTAAATATATTAATTCAGGAAAACTTGGCTTATTAGGCAAATCGGGCCTTGAATAGTAGGCTGAGAAGTGAGTTCTGGCTACTAGGTACGACATATATATATATATATATATATATATATATATATATATATATATATTATATATATATATATATATATATATATATATATACATATTATATATATATATATAAATATATATATATATATATATATATATATAATATATATATATATATATATATATATATATATATATATATATATATTATAAATTTGACCGAAAAAGTAAGATTAATAATTCTAACTCGAATTTTCTCAATATTTCTTATGGTTCTTTTCACTGTCGATGGTAATTGAAAAATCAGTTCTCCAAAATTCATTTTTATTTCTAGTCTGACGCGGCACTTGAACGCGTTTCGTAATAACTTATTACATTTTCAAAGACTAGTTTACACACACACAACTATAACCTGCAAACACTAAAACAGATTTCTTACTATGCTATAATTCAAACGGCTTTTCATTTTATATACCTGCATTTGGGTGAGGTGATATGTTACAACAGTTTTGGATGAGGTGAAAACAAACTTTCAACACAAGATAGAACACGAAATATTGGGTAAAGTTAAAGGAGAAGAATGGAAGTAAATGCAAAGGGCCTATTGGCCCATATTTCTTGATGCTTCTATATTGGTACGGAGTCTTGAAGTGGGTAGAACCCACTTCAAGACTCCGCACATATCTTCGTTAGTCATATATATCCGTTAGTTTCAACTCAAATTTAAAAAATTTGGTTCATACATAATGATATGCATAGCTTTATCATTTCATAAGAAAAAATAGAAAAATATTGAAACTCCGGAAACTTGGCTTATTAGGCAAACCGGGCCTTGCATAGTAGGCCGAGTACGACGTTCTGGCTACTAGGTACAACATATGTCTATATATATATATATATATATATATATATATATATATATATATATATATATATATATATATATATATATATATTGGTGTAAACTGGCAGCAGGTTTTCTTTTAAACATGTCTCACTGAATATGACTGCATATTCTGTATTTCCTATCTTCTGATTTAGGGTTTCTATCGCTCTAACTATTTTCTTAGCATCAGGGCTTGGCTGAAAGAGGAGTTCTCCAAAACTCATTTTCATAATTTCAAGGTGAAGAAAAAAAGTGAATTACTATAGAATGTATTACACTTATTTATACAATTTGCACAACGTTTCGAACCTCCATGGTTCATTCTCAAGTGAAAAGAATTTTCAGGACTGGTTGATTTATACCCTCATTGGGTCAGGTGATAAGACAATAAAGGTGAAAACATGGGGGGGGGGGGAATAAATGGGGGTGAATCATAAGAACATAAGAATAGAGGTAACTGCGGAAGGCCTATTGGCCCATGCGAGGCAGCTCCAGTCTACATACAAAGATTAATCAGGTGTAATTGGCCTGTTATGTTGAACAGTGTCTTCTGTGTTGGCATCGTTATGTTCTGGTGTTGTCCTTACTCTCATGGTGGGTAGAGTAAATAGTTCTGTGATTTGGGTGCTCATGGTAGGTTGTTCTAATCTTATGTGAATTGCTTCAAGAATATGTAATCTTCTTGCATCTTTGGTTTTGTCTATTATACATGTATAATTTTGTGTATTATACCAGACAACACCACATGACACTGCCAGGCTTAGAGCTGTAGCAGCTCCCCATGCAGGTGATTTCCTATTAGCAACCCCAATGTCAGCAACCGGCACCCGTCTCACACTGCAGGCCCTCCGAATTGCCGTGGCTCTCCGCCTCGCTGCCCCAATTCACACCGAATACACGTGTATTTGCGGCGAGGCAGAGGCCGACAGGTACGGACGGCATGGCCTTCTCTGCCAAAGGACAGGAGGATGGCATGCAAGACACGGCGAGGTCAATAACATTATTAAGAGAAGCCTTACCACAGCCGGTTGTCCAGCAGAGAGAGAGCCCCGTTACCTAATATCCCGCAACTCTGATGAGCCTGTCGGTCGCCCAGACGGAATTACGGTGAACCCCTGGAAGAATTGTAGACAGTTTGTGTGGGACTACACCTGCGCTTCAACTTTAGCCAATACCTATGTTGACTTCAGTGCTACACAAGCAGGAGGAGCTGCCAATCACCGGGAAGCGGCCAAGTCACGTAAATACAGAGACCTTGAGCACCACTACAATTTTGTCCCCATTGCCTCAGAGACACTTGGTGCCTGGGGTAAAAGTGCTGCTAGCTTTTTGAAGGAGTTGGGGTCTAAGCTAATCGAAACAACTAGAGACCCTAGAGCTGCCAGTTTTCTTTTTTAGCGCCTTAGTGTGGCAATCCAGAGAGGAAATGCTCACTGCATCCGTTGTTCCTGCCCGCCATCTGAGGAGCTGGAGGAGCTATTCAACTTGTGACAAGTAGCCTTGTACCCTGCATGTAATCAATATTGTAACTTTTTTTGTGTATTGACATTTTCAAATAAAGTTAGATAAATATACACACATACCAAAAGAATAGGGGGGGTAGGAGAAGAAAATATCAAAGTGTTCAGTGAGGATCCACAAGGTCTTCTCTGAGTACTCTTTATTTTCTTCTCCGAGGCTATAGGTCCCTACACTTGCACCAGAGGTGGTACCCCCTTCTGTATATATATATATATATATATATATATATATATATATATATATATATATATATATAGTATATATATATATATATATATATATATTAGTATATTTTGTTAGCAGTCTTTCCTGTAGACATATATTATTAAATATGACCGAAAAAGTAAGATTAATAATTCTAACACGAATTTTCTCAATCTTTCGTACATTACGCTTCACTGTTGGAGGTAAATAAAAAATCACTTCTCCAAAATTCATTTTTATTTCTAGTCTGACGCGACACGGGCGCGTTTCGTAAAACTTATTACATTTTCAAAGACTTCACAAAACACAACTGATTAGAACTTACGTATCTCTGATTTTATATCTACATTTGAGTGAGGTGGGAGGGGTGATGTGGCATTAACACAAGACAGAACAAGAGGGGATATTAATAGGGTATTAAAAGTATCAACACAAGACAGAACAGAAACAATGGGTATTGAATAGAAAATCCAAAAAACCCAGTATATAGGCAAGACAACAACATCTCTTTCTAGGCGTTTAACGATGCATAAGCAACAGGCTCCATTAAGGAACATATAATCTCTTCCCATAACCAAACCATCGCCAGAGAAATCCTAGTAAACAACACAGAAATCATCGATAGATACAGCGATAGCAGGCGGCTTGACGTTTGCGAGGCACTACACATCAAGAAGTCAACACCAGCAATCAACAGCCAATTATTGCACAACTATATTCTACCCACCTCAAGACTCCGCTCCAATATAGAAGCATCAAGAAATATGGACCAATAGGCTTTCTACAAACACTTCTATTCAATACCCATTGTTTCTGTTCTGTCTTGTGTTGATACTTTTAATACCCTATTAATATCCCCTCTTGTTCTGTCTTGTGTTAATGCCACATCACCCCTCCCACCTCACTCAAATGTAGATATAAAATCAGAGATACGTAAGTTCTAATCAGTTGTGTATTTGTGAAGTCTTTGAAAATGTAATAAGTTTTACGAAACGCGCCCGTGTCGCGTCAGACTAGAAATAAAAAATGAATTTTGGAGAAGTGATTTTTGATTTACCTCCAACAGTGAAGCGTAATGTACGAAAGATTGAGAAAATTCGTGTTAGAATTATTAATCTTACTTTTTCGGTCATATTTAATAATATATATATATATATATATATATATATATATATATATATATATATATATATATATATTTATTTATTGGATGAACTAGTCTGCTCTATGGTTACCCCATGCACCCAGGTGGGTTGGTTCAGGCAGACGGGTTCAAGTAGACGGGTTCAAGTAGACGGGTTCAAGTAGACGGGTTCACTTTAACAACTATATCACTTCTACCTCACAGCATCAACGTAAATACCGAAGGCCATTCAATATTAAGCTAACTCCTCTAAACGTATTGACGCAGACAACAACGTACGTCATAAACGTAACAATAAATGTACAAGATCTTCCCCCTTCCCCACCCCACCCCCACTTTCAGGAAGACAAGAGACACAGGCCCCACCTGATATTAAATTACTCATCATCCTGGGCGAGTAAAGGCATAGAACTGTGGATTATACCCAATCATTTGTACATAGGAGCAACATGGATTGGCGGCCTTACCTCGTGTAGCCAGCTGATCTTGTAGACCCAAGGGTTGGCTCTGATGGAACACTCAAAATAGACGTCATCGCCCTCCTCTATATTGCTGAGGTTGAGAGAGCGGCCTGGACGAAGTCTAGTCATAGGCACATCTGACGGAGACATCCAAGTGAGGTGGAATTATAAATTAGTTGTCGTAGAGGCTTTGGCTTGGACGGATGTATGTTTGGACAGGAAGGTACAGTAATGGGTCAAGCTATAGGACTTGTACTGGTCGAATTAGTTATTCCATGCGTCTGGAAGGGGAGGTTTTAAAAGGGTGTACAAGAGTGTAAAAGCTAGTAGTACCTATCTAAACAAAACCCACTTCATCGCCTACCTCGACGGTTCGAGACCAAGCCACTACCATTTCACGGTGAAGCCACCAAACCCCTCGCAGATCCCAGCACAAGGGTTAAAACCCAGCAATACGTCCAGCGCCTTAAAACGGCATGTACTAGAAGAAAAAAGTATAACGAAGAAAAAAGTATGGAAGTAAAAAAGTATAAAGAAAATATATATATTTTATAATATCAAAAATTGATAACGCCTGACTTAATAACAGCAGACATGTTCTAGTAAGAGTAAGTGAGACCCGACGTGTTCCCCAGAACACGTCGGGTCTCACTTTTCGCACACCCTCCGTCACTATGTGATGGAGTGCGAAAAGATACGTGAATTTAGAGACAATTCTAAAACCAATGTTCCAACGATGTGTAAATATTTCATTCAAAATGATCTGCTACCAGAAATATTAGCCAAATATCCCCAGTTTGCTAACTGAAGGTAGTAACTAAGTGATTGTAACCTATCCACCGCTGCCCACTGGATGGGGGGGGGGGGCGGTGTACAGGACAAACATATCAATTGTGACATTAGCTCTCCACATATGTCAGTTGCTTAATTTAGAAACTGTTCTTGTGGTCGATCTCGAATCCATTGTTGTTGTTGTTGTTGTTGAGTTATACGCGAAACGAGAGACGCCAAGCACTAGAAACTAATATGCCACACGGCAAGGAAATGCACAAAGGGAGAGGCACAAGCACAGAATAAAACAGGGCAAACAAGCAGCCAGAGGGGCACACAGCAATTCACAGAGCAAATACACAGGAAATCAGGGTACATACTTGCCCGGGAACCTGGCCCGCGGGAACCGTACATTGAATGCTTCCCTGAGCACCCACCGCCAAGGGTCTTGTCCATCCACCGGGGCCTCCATAACATCCGGAACCGGGGCAACAAACACCCACAAACAGGGGACCCAAATGGTAGTACTCACGAGGCGAGTAGTTGCCACTCGGCCCCACACGAAGGTAACCTGCCCACCACAAAAGTTATCTGGCCCGTCAGACGGCTGTAACTCGGCAATCTCCGTCCAGTGACCCTGCGGCATCACAGACGCCGGCAACACGTCCTCCAGGACCCCAATGCACACCCTCACAGGAGTGAACGGGCCACAGGGCACCGCCACAGGGCGGTGTGAGGAACATAAACTAGAAGAAATCCCTTCTGTAGCAGAACGCAGAGCTGCATATGGCCGTTCAAAGGACTGCCAGCTTCTTTCTGGCGCTTTCCCAGATGCTAAACCCATTCAGCTACAACCTCCAGTACAGGTTACCAGACCCCTCTATTACCGTCCTATTGGTGATGAACCAGTTAATGAATATGCAGGTGCACTTCTTCCTGATAACTACTCAAATGCTGAAGCCTACGTTTCTGCAAAAGATTTATACTCTGGTCGTCGTAATGCAGCACAACGGGGCCGTGGTGCCCCACAGGGGCACCCACGGCCCCGGGCACACCACCAGACGACAGCAGGGAACCCGGACGGCGCGCATCCTTCCGTAACGTCACCACCAGGCCACGCCCAGCACCAGAGTCCACACCATCCCTGGCAGCGGAAGCCACCACCCCCCACTGTGGAGAGTCCCCTGGCGGAGAAAGAACGGAAGGCACGTCCGAGACACAGACACCAGCACCGGCAGGCATATGGACCTTCGCCACCACTAGCTGTGGAGACATCGACGTATCCGTATCAACACCGGCAACACTCGAATACTCTCAGTCACTGAAGCCACCAAAATCGGCCCAGGCAGATCACGAACGCCGGGAACGTTTAGGCACCGGCCGAATATCGTCAGGGCCGGAAGCGGACCCAGAAACACGGGCACCACGAGCCGGACGAACCGACGCCCGAGACAGAACGGCAGCAGCCTCCACCACAGGGGAAACCGGGTCACACACCGCAGGAGGCTCCGCAGCCACCCCAGCACTCAGCACATCCGGGACCCGAGATATGGACACAGGGCCAGGCGCAGCATCCAAAGACGAGAAAGAAGACAGCAACGCCACACAGGGAGCACCAGGAAGGCCCACGGGAGCAGCTAGGACAGGGACAAGATCAGGCAGCCAACCGACGGCACCACAATACCCGGAGGAGGGTCGGCAACAACCGGAGGAACGTCGCCAGGGGAGCTGCAGCAGCGAACAGGACGTGCACCTCCTCAACATCTCCAGCGGCTGCCTCCAGCAGGAGCGGGGGGAAATCCTCTTCTCGGAACAAGTTGACAGGAGCAGCTGGGGTAGCAGAGCACCCTGTAGCCTGATGCCCCAACAGGCCACACCGGAAACAGGTACGAGACTGCCGGGCATAATACACCCGGACGTAGTATCCCAGAAGCCAGACAGAAGAAGGTATACCCGACCGCAGGCGCATTCCAAACGTGCGAATTTTCGTTCGCCTTCCAGCATACTGGCCCAAGGAGAGCGTGTTCACCCGCACGCTGACAACTGTACCAAACCCCCCGAAGTAACGCCGTAGGAGGTCGTCAGGAAACTCCATGGACGCTGACATAAGTTAGGGCTCCACTATGATCCGAGATCGCCACAGAGCCGGCATCACCCGGCAACGACAACGTACGCCCCTTGTACCGACGGAGGAAGTCTTCGTACTCCTCCTCCCTCACGAACTTGAGAACTACCCGGTGGGCAGTAACAAGCTCAATACCATAGAGAGCCTCCACCGGGATACGAAGCATGTCACACATAACCATCTCTACGTCTGAATATCCAGCCCAACTAGTGAACTCCAAGCCCACGGAATTCACACGCACAACAGGGGGAAGAAGGCCTCCCATGTCAAACTTGCCACGTCAACATGGGGCAGAGACGCCCACACCACCTGGCGACCAAAATGGCAAACAACCCCAACAGACACGGAGGGTCGGCAAGGCGTCCGCACTCCACGGCTGCCAGCAGTTGACTCTCGAATCCATTGTTGATGAGACGACATATACTGAATTTTGTAACTAGCTCATCAAGATTGTAACTTGCTTAGCTAAATGAATTGTGTTGTTCAGTCCCTGAGCCCATTATGTGCCTCTGTAACCCTTTCCACTACCGCCCACAAGATGGGTATGGGGTGCATAATAAATGAATTAAACTAAACGTCCCCGTGGCTAACTAGGCCGGGGACTAACCAGACGAGCCGATTGGTCAAGGTTGGGTCCACTAAACCACCCGCTTAAACCTCCGTGTCCCCCCTCCCCTAATTTACGCGTTTTATGGGATTATGGTCTTAGTTTAAGTAGCAGATAATTTATGTTAATTTTGCTGAAATAATTATTAATGGCGCATTTTTTTTTAATTTTGATAATTGTTTTTGTTATCGAAATATTTTCGTCTGTATGCTGGCAGAAAGCGCCAGAAATGGTCGTGGGGGTCTGAATGTGACCCTGGTACGCCGTTCACTTTTGAATTCTGGCGACCGCAACTAGCCTATGTTCATCCCATACCCCAGACCATTGGCTCTGTTAATTCCGGCGAGGCTGGACCCAAGCGTTTGGCTTCCAGCTTTGGACACACACATTCTCTTACAGTTTGTGTATGTCACATCGTTTGTTGGTCTCTGATATGAAATATGCGAGAGATTAATATATTATCAGCAATTAAAGCATAATTACCAGATTAGGGCCAGAGAGAGAGAGAGAGAGAGAGAGAGAGAGAGAGAGAGAGAGAGAGAGAGAGAGAGAGAGAGAGAGAGAGAGAGAGAGAGAGAGAGAGAGAGAGAGAAGAGAGAGAGAGAGAGAGAGAGAGAGAGAGAGAGAGAGAGAGAGAGAGAGAGAGAGAGAGAGAGAGAGAGAGAGAGAGAGAGAGAGAGAGAGAGAGGGAGAGCCTGAGAGACAGGGGGTGAGCCAGAGAGAGAGAGAGAGAGCGAGAGAGAGAGAGAGAGAGAGAGCGAGAGAGAGAGAGAGAGAGAGAGAGAGAGAGAGAGAGAGAGAGAGAGCCAAGAGGGAGAGAAGAGAGAGAGAGAGAGCCAGAGAGAACGAGAGAGAGAGAGAGAGAGAGAGAGAGAGAGAGAGAGAGAGAAAGAGAGAGAGAAAGAGAGAGAGAGAGAGAGAGGAGAGAGAGAGAGAGAGAGAGAGAGAGAGAGAGAGAAGAGACAGAGACAGAGAGAGAGAGAGAGAGAGAGACAGAGAAAGAGAGAGAGAGAGAGAGAGACAGAGAAAGAGAGAGACCGAGAGAGAGCAAACAGATGACTCACAATATATCTGAAGACGCCAGTCGTCGACCATGGGGCCAGCCTCCAGCACGGGAGAGTCTGCCTGACAGGAGATCACCTTGCCAGCATCCTTCACACTGGGTGTCCATCTTAACTCGCTGTACGTCACGTTGCCTTCCTGGGAGACCTGAGACGAGACCTACAGTCAGTCCTAATCTTCAGGCAACCCACCCGTCCGCCCCCTAATCTTCCCAATCTTCACCTTCAAGTCGCTAAGCTGTGTGCTCATTCAAGCTCTCGTCTAGCGAGCTTGTGCTGCTCCTGCAGCTGACAGTCCTTCACTGTCAAATGACTCGGTTCAGAGGGCGCTGTTAGTTATTACGTCTGTCAGTAGGCTGATATCGTCGTGTTGTCAATAGATTTACAAAGTGACGGGAAGCCAGGCTTTTATTGGTTCCCGTCACCTGCGATGCCCACGGTGACAGTTATCACCTAGCGACAGTCCTGTCAGCGGCTGACACTTGTGTTCAGACAGCTTTATATCCTGCTACTGGCCATACGAGCCTCGAACGAGCCACCATCTATCAGTTCAACATGTTATGACTTATCGACCACGTTGGTTCTAATTCTTCCGACAAACTCTCGCATATTACTGAAAATCTTTTATTTTTGAATTAAAATAGTTACTACATTGTTCTCTATTCCCCTCTGCTCGAGTGCGTTGCTGATAAGACTCCTCCTGGCTCGTGGTACAGGGAACTGGTTGTGCGACCTGCTAGACCTATGAGGAAGGAATTTGATAAACTATTGAACACCATTTTCTGCTCTGTAATACAGCAGGCACAAGCCAGCTTGCAGATAAATGCCAAGATGGCAGCAGATTAAAAAAAACGATTCAAGTAAATTAAGTTTCACCTGTAAAGTTGTTATCAGATCTAACAGATACACACGACTAGTACCTATATAAAGGGGAGAAAAAAGTATTAACCATGAGATTCAATCTTGGTTAAGCCTCTATAAACGAAGCTTAATTGACTAAGTCTACTCTCACCTTGGTGTTTATCAACAGTGTTGTCAATACTGGGGTTTTCACTGCCAACCCACCTGGTAACTGTCAAGTCTTAATCACATGAGTAAATCACTAATCAGACTCATTTTTTACTTGACGTGCCAGATAATAGGCGTGATCTAATGATTACGTTGCGTCACGGTAAGCTTGCGTGACGCAAACCCCCAAGTGAAGCTGACCTACCTCGTCTCTATGGCCGCCAAGTACGCTGTTTTGGAGGCGCCAGGTGACGGCAGCTGGAGGCTTGGCACCTACAATTTGGCACTGGAGGTCGTACGGCCGTCCGGCACTGAGGGGCGCTCTGTCCCCCAGGATTCTCACCCACAGGGGAGGAACTGCCGGCCCACACACCCGGGGGAGAGAGTTATTTTCAGTTAGAATAGTTTCTTGGTGGTTCGTGAAGCGGCGAATATTTTAGGGTTTTGTATGGCTAGCATTGTGAGGGGTCAAGGCGTTAAGTAACTTAGGCCAAGGAAGTGACCCAAGCCACTTATTGGGACGCGGCCCAAGCCAGGGACGCGGTTCTCTCCAGTGGCTCAAGGCAGGATAGTGGGCCAGATTGGGATGAAGGAATTTTAAGGTTTGCATCATTAAGAGAATAACCATAAGTTATCACCTAGCCACTTTATCACTTGGTGAACTGTGTGCTACTCCAGCACACTCTAGAACTTTAAATTAAACATCAGCATCTTAAAAAGAAAATTATTATTGGAAATTACAAGAAACGAAAACAAAAAACGCACCTGCATCTTGTTAAATTTTCAAAAGCGATTTTGTCCCACTTAGAACAACTCAATATCTTATCTCCGCCGCCTGCTGAACCCTTGTGTCCTAAAAAAAATTATCCCCCTCCCCTCCCAACAAAAAAAAGAGTTCTTACGTCTTAGAATTGCGAAATAAGAGCCCTTCTTATAGTGTTACTTACTTCTTGGACAATAGTAAAAAAATGTAGAAATAATTTGTATCAGTCACTAAATAATAAGAGAGAATTCGTCTGACAACAAGAATGATGTGTTGGGGAACTGTGAGGAGAGTGTGGACATTAACAAGCCACGAGAACAAACTTCCTGAAGAAAGCGAGAAGTACTTGAAGGAAAATGTATATTCTGAATAGATAGGAAAAGTATGGCAAGCGATCTATAAGAATTATACTCTCATAATATATCTCCATTAATAAACAAAGTTACGTAGATATGGATAGAAAGATATATAAGGAGAGAGAGAGAGAGAGAGAGAGAGAGAGAGAGAGAGAGAGAGAGAGAGAGAGAGAGAGAGAGAGAGAGAGAGAGAGAGAGAGAGAGAGAGAGAGAGAGAGAGAGAGAGAGAGAGAGAGAGAGAGAGAGAGAGAGAGACAGAGTGAGGGGGTGGGAGGCAAATGGTTAGGCAGGTTTTAATAAAATGATAAACAGATTAACATACAATATTACAAAATCTTAAGAAAACAAATGAATACAATAAGTGCTGAATTATCATCTAGACAATTATTCACCAATTATTCGTAATAGCTTCACTGGTAAAGGTCTCGTTGAGGCTCGAGTCTTCCTTGTTCTGTCAAATTATTCCCATCAATGGAGTATAATAGTTAAAGTCAATGACTCAACTTTTTATGACCGATTTAAGTCAATAAGTATTTTTTTTTTAGTAAATCCTTTTAGGAACTGAAAGTTGGAACTCCTGTTGTTTACCTTTTTTTTTGGTTGACGAGAATGTTGAGTGGACACATCCGGCGCCTGACAGAAACGTGTGTATCCTCGCTACATATGCAAGACTGTAACTTGATTTGATCGTGTATCCGCTCGTCTGTCTGTCTATTCGGTGACTGGTTAGAAAACTTTCGGTAAAATGTGTCATGTGCCCTGCGGACCTCTATTGTCTTCAACATTGGGGGATGGATAGACCTCTATTGTCTTCAACATTGGGGGATGGATAGACCTCTATTGCCTTCAACATTGGGGGATGGATAGACCTCTATTGTCTTCAACATTGAGGGATGGATAGACCTCTATTGCCTTCAACATTGGGGGGTGGATAGACCTCTATTGTCTTCAACATTGAGGGATGGATAGACCTCTATTGTCTTCAACATTGGGGGATGGATAGACCTCTATTGTCTTCAACATTGGGGGATGGATAGACCTCTATTGTCTTCAACATTGAGGGATGGATAGACCTCTATTGTCTTCAACATTGGGGGATGGATAGACCTCTATTGTCTTCAACATTGGGGGATGGATAGACCTCTATTGTCTTCAACATTGAGGGATGGATAGACCTCTATTGTCTTCAACATTGGGGGATGGATAGACCTCTATTGCCTTCAACATTGGGGGATGGATAGACCTCTATTGCCTTCAACATTGGGGGGTGGATAGTCCTCTATTGTCTTCAACATTGGGGGGTGGATAGACCTCTATTGTCTTTAACACCAGGTGATGGATAGACCTCTATTGCCTTCTTAATGTCTTTAGGCAATTATTGAATTGCCCTGTACAAGGCGTCGTTCGTACCTTTCACTCCCCCATTCGTAATTCGTGATCCTGGCCCCCCACCTCCTGGGGCACTGTTCGTGACCCCCCCCCTCCTGGAGCACTGTTCGTGACCCCCCCCTCCTGGGGCACTGTTCGTGACCCCCCCCTCCTGGAGCACTGTTCGTGACCCCCCCCCCTCCTGGGGCACTGTTCGTGACCCCCCCCCTCCTGGGGCACTGTTCGTGACCCCCCCCTCCTGGGGCACTGTTCGTGACCCCCCCCTCCTGGGGCACTGTTCGTGACCCCCCCCTCCTGGGGCACTGTTCGTGACCCCCCCCTCCTGGGGCACTGTTCGTGACCCCCCTCCTCCTGGGGCACTGTTTCGTGACCCCCCCCCTCCTGGGGCACTGTTCGTGACCCCCCCTCCTGGGGCACTGTTCGTGACCCCCACTCCTGGGCACTGTTCGTGACCCCCCCCCTCCTGGGGCACTGTTCGTGACCCCCCCTCCTGGGGCACTGTTCGTGACCCCCCCCTCCCTGGGGCACTGTTCGTGACCCCCCCCTCCTGGGGCACTGTTCGTGACCCCCCCCCTCCTGGGGCACTGTTCGTGACCCCCCCTCCTGGAGCACTGTTCGTGACCCCCCCCCTCCTGGGCACTGTTCGTGACCCCCCCCTCCTGGAGCACTGTTCGTGACCCCCCCCTCCTGGGGCACTGTTCGTGACCCCCCCCCCTCCTGGGGCACTGTTCGTGACCCCCCCCTCCTGGGGCACTGTTCGTGACCCCCCCTCCTGGGGCACTGTTCGTGACCCCCCCCCCTCCTGGGGCACTGTTCGTGACCCCCCCCCTCCTGGGGCACTGTTCGTGACCCCCCCTCCTCCTGGGGCACTGTTCGTGACCCCCCCCTCCTGGGGCACTGTTCGTGACCCCCCCTCCTGGGGCACTGTTCGTGACCCCCACTCCTGGGCACTGTTCGTGACCCCCCCCCCTCCTGGGGCACTGTTCGTGACCCCCCCTCCTGGGGCACTGTTCGTGACCCCCCCCCTCCTGGGGCACTGTTCGTGACCCCCCCCTCCTGGGGCACTGTTCGTGACCCCCCCCTCCTGGGGCACTGTTCGTGACCCCCCCTCCTGGAGCACTGTTCGTGACCCCCCCTCCTGGGGCACTGTTCGTGACCCCCCCCCTCCTGGAGCACTGTTCGTGACCCCCCCCTCCTGGGGCACTGTTCGTGACCCCCCCCCTCCTGGGGCACTGTTCGTGACCCCCCCCTCCTGGGGCACTGTTCGTGACCCCCCCTCCTGGGGCACTGTTCGTGACCCCCCCCCTCCTGGGGCACTGTTCGTGACCCCCCCCCTCCTGGGGCACTGTTCGTGACCCCCCTCCTCCTGGGGCACTGTTCGTGACCCCCCCCTCCTGGGGCACTGTTCGTGACCCCCCCTCCTGGGGCACTGTTCGTGACCCCCCTCCTGGGGCACTGTTCGTGACCCCCCCCCCTCCTGGGGCACTGTTCGTGACCCCCCCTCCTGGGGCACTGTTCGTGACCCCCCCCCCTCCTGGGGCACTGTTCGTGACCCCCCCCCTCCTGGGGCACTGTTCGTGACCCCCCCCTCCTGGGGCACTGTTCGTGACCCCCCCTCCTGGGGCACTGTTCGTGACCCCCCTCCTGGGGCACTGTTCGTGACCCCCCCCCTCCTGGGGCACTGTTCGTGACCCCCCCCCTCCTGGGGCACTGTTCGTGACCCCCCCCCCTCCTGGGGCACTGTTCGTGACCCCCCCCCTCTCCTGGGGCACTGTTCGTGACCCCCCCCCTCCTGGGGCACTGTTCGTGACCCCCCCCTCCTGGGGCACTGTTCGTGACCCCCCCCCCTCTCCTGGGCACTGTTCGTGACTCCCCCCCTCCTGGGGCACTGTTCGTGACCCCCCCCTCCTGGGGCACTGTTCGTGACCCCCCCCTCCTGGGGCACTGTTCGTGACCCCCCCCCTCCTGGGCACTGTTTGTGACCCCCCCCTCCTGGGGCACTGTTCGTGACCCCCCCCCTCTCCTGGGGCACTGTTCGTGACCCCCCCCCCTCCTGGGGCACTGTTCGTGACCCCCCCCCTCCTGGGGCACTGTTCGTGACCCCCCCCTCCTGGGGCACTGTTCGTGACCCCCCCCCTCCTGGAGCACTGTTCGTGACCCCCCCCTCCTGGGGCACTGTTCGTGACCCCCCCCCTCCTGGGGCACTGTTCGTGACCCCCCCCTCCTGGGGCACTGTTCGTGACCCCCCCCTCCTGGGGCACTGTTCGTGACCCCCCCCCTCCTGGGGCACTGTTCGTGACCCCCCCCCCCTCCTGGGGCACTGTTCGTGACCCCCCCGTCCTCCTGGGGCACTGTTCGTGACCCCCCCCTCCTGGGGCACTGTTCGTGACCCCCCCTCCTGGGGCACTGTTCGTGACCCCCCCTCCTGGGGCACTGTTCGTGACCCCCCCCCCCTCCTGGGGCACTGTTCGTGACCCCCCCCTCCTGGGGCACTGTTCGTGACCCCCCCCTCCTGGGGCACTGTTCGTGACCCCCCCCTCCTGGGCACTGTTCGTGACCCCCCCCCTCCTGGGGCACTGTTCGTGACCCCCCCCTCCTGGAGCACTGTTCGTGACCCCCCCCTCCTGGGGCACTGTTCGTGACCCCCCCCTCCTGGAGCACTGTTCGTGACCCCCCCCCTCCTGGGGCACTGTTCGTGACCCCCCCCTCCTGGGGCACTGTTCGTGACCCCCCCCCTCCTGGGGCACTGTTCGTGACCCCCCCTCCTGGGGCACTGTTCGTGACCCCCCCCCTCCTGGGGCACTGTTCGTGACCCCCCCCTCCTGGGGCACTGTTCGTGACCCCCCCTCCCTGACCCCCCCTCCTGGGGCACTGTTCGTGACCCCCCCCTCCTGGGGCACTGTTCGTGACCCCCCCTCCTGGGGCACTGTTCGTGACCCCCACTCCTGGGGCACTGTTCGTGACCCCCCCCCCCTCCTGGGGCACTGTTCGTGACCCCCCCTCCTGGGGCACTGTTCGTGACCCCCCCCCCTCCTGGGGCACTGTTCGTGACCCCCCCCTCCTGGGGCACTGTTCGTGACCCCCCCCTCCTGGGGCACTGTTCGTGACCCCCCCCTCCTGGAGCACTGTTCGTGACCCCCCCCCCTTGGCACTCCTGGGGCACTGTTCGTGACCCCCCCCTCCTGGAGCACTGTTCGTGACCCCCCCCTCCTGGGGCACTGTTCGTGACCCCCCCCTCCTGGGGCACTGTTCGTGACCCCCCCCCCCTCCTGGGGCACTGTTCGTGACCCCCCCCCTCCTGGGGCACTGTTCGTGACCCCCCCCCCTCCTGGGGCACTGTTCGTGACCCCCCCCTCCTGGGGCACTGTTCGTGACCCCCCCTCCTCACTGGGACCCCCCTCCTGGGGCACTGTTCGTGACCCCCCCCTCCTGGGGCACTGTTCGTGACCCCCCCCTCCTGGGGCACTGTTCGTGACCCCCCTCCTGGGGCACTGTTCGTGACCCCCCCCTCCCTGGGGCACTGTTCGTGACCCCCCCCCTCCTGGGGCACTGTTCGTGACCCCCCCCTCCTGGGGCACTGTTCGTGACCCCCCCCTCCTGGGGCACTGTTCGTGACCCCCCCCTCCTGGGGCACTGTTCGTGACCCCCCCCCTCCTGGGGCACTGTTCGTGACCCCCCCCCTCCTGGGGCACTGTTCGTGACCCCCCCCTCCTGGGGCACTGTTCGTGACCCCCCCCCCTCCTGGGGCACTGTTCGTGACCCCCCCCCTCTCCTGGGGCACTGTTCGTGACCCCCCCCCTCCTGGGGCACTGTTCGTGACCCCCCCCTCCTGGGGCACTGTTCGTGACCCCCCCCTCCTGGGGCACTGTTCGTGACCCCCCCCTCCTGGGGCACTGTTCGTGACCCCCCCCTCCTGGGGGTTCGTGACCCCCCCCTCCTGGGGCACTGTTCGTGACCCCCCCCCTCCCCCCCCCCTCCTGGGGCACTGTTCGTGACCCCCCCCCCTCCTGGGGCACTGTTCGTGACCCCCCCCCTCCTGGGGCACTGTTCGTGACCCCCCCCCTCCTGGGGCACTGTTCGTGACCCCCCCCCCTCCTGGGGCACTGTTCGTGACCCCCCCCCCTCCTGGGGCACTGTTCGTGACCCCCCCCCCCTCCTGGGGCACTCGTGACCCCCCCTCTCCTGGGGCACTGTTCGTGACCCCCCCCCTCCTGGGGCACTGTTCGTGACCCCCCCCGACCTCCCTCAATGCCCTACACTCTTCTTGGTAAAAAAAAACCGGTAATTCCTAACGGTAATAATTTCCAACGGTAATAATTTCTAACGGTAATAATTCCTAACGGTAATAATTCCTAACGGTAATAATTTCCAACGGTAACTCCGGTAATATAATGGAAGGTAATTCCAAAACTTCCCATAATCTGATCCATCCATATCCCCTTTCACCCCCCCCCCCCATTGCTACTCTACCTAGAGTCAGAGAACATGTTTACATTCCGCATGTGTAGGGAACTGTAGGCATCCCTGCGGCAAGGCCCCTGTATGAGGGATATGTGTCCTTTTAGGTAAGCCCAAGTACTGCCCAAGCGGCTCGACCGCTCAGAATATGTAAAGACGGATGCTTGCGTCCCTCCAAATTGCTTCGGGTATTTATATATCAGATAAAAACCCCAATGACAGTGACTTATAACTTGGTAAGTCATATTCGTAACTTCCCAGTCAAGTTACATTCAATCAAGCTTCAGGGCGAGTTGTTTGATCACGGATCTCTTCAAGGCCGATAATTAAAAAAGGATGACATTTTATAACACATGGATAGGGGGTAGGGGGTAGAGGACAGGGCAGGACCTGAGATAGGAGGAACGGAGTGACGGAACCATGTCTAACCGCTTGGACCATCGGGCATCGAACGCCGACCCAGCTGCATGAAGCATCGGTCAACGCTCTACCGACCGGTGCAAGTGGCCTCGACGACAAAGCTTCATTCCGTCCCCTGAAAGGAAGGTGAGAAGAGAGACCAGGTGACTCACAGCTCATGTTGATGGTGACGGTGGTCTGAAGCGGCCTGGTGAGGTTGGTGTTGCTGGCCTGACACGTCAGCGGCCGGTGGAGGTCACGTCTCGTTAGCGAGGTCACCACCAGGGTGTTGGTCACCTGCTCGGACGTCTCCTCCTCCGAGGTCATGTCCAGGAGCACGGCGCCCTCCCACCAGGTGACGCTCGGGGGCGGCGACCCGCCCTCCGCCCGACAGTTGAGGGTGACCGTCTCCCCCTCCAGGAAGGGCCCCACTACGCCGCGAACTTCAGTGTCCGGATCAATGTAGACCAACAGGCGTCGGGGAGGCACTAAGGAGGGAGATAATACACTCATGAGGCGAGAGGTAGTGAAGAACGCACACACACACACACACACACACACACACACACACACACACACACACACACACACACACACACACACACACACACACACACACACACACACACACACACACACACACACACACACACACACACACACACACACACACACACACACACACACACACACACACACACACACACACACACACACACACACACACACACACACACACACACAGGGTTACTTGAATTCTACGACCAGGCAACAAAAATAAGGCAATAAAGAGAAGGGTGGGCAGACTGCATATTTTTGGATTGTCAGAAAGCCTTTGATACAGTGTCACACAAGAGGCTAGTGAGAAAGCTGGAGATACAGGCTGGAGTGAAAGGGAAGGTACTCCATTGGATAAAGGAGTACCTAAGCAACAGGAGACAACGAGTCTGTGTGAGGGGTGAGGTCTCAGATTGGCGAGACGTTACAAGTGGAGTCCCGCAGGGGTCAGTCCTTGGACCTATACTGTTTCTGGTATATGTAAATGATCTCCCAGAGGGTATAGATTCGTTCCTCTCAATGTTTGCCGACGATGCAAAAATTATGAGGAGGATTGAAACAGAGGATAATAGTAGGAGGCTACAAGATGACCTAGATAGACTGAGTGAATGGTCCAACAAATGGCTGTTGAAGTTCAACCCGAGTAAATGCAAAGTAATGAAACTAGGCAGTGGAAACAGGAGGCCAGACACAGGATACATAATAGGAGATGAAGTACTTAATGAAACAGACAGAGAGAAAGATCTAGGAGTTGATATCACACCAAACCTGTCTCCTGAAGCCCACATAAAGAGAATAACGTCAGCGGCATATGCGAGGCTGGCTAACATCAGAACAGCGTTCAGGAACCTGTGTAAGGAATCATTCAGAATCTTGTACACCACATATGTAAGATCAATCCTGGAGTATGCGGCCCCAGCATGGAGCCCGTATCTTGTCAAGCACAAGACGAAGCTGGAAAAAGTCCAAAAGTATGCTATTAGACTAGTCCCAGAACTAAGAGGCATGAGTTATGAGGAAAGGCTGCGGGAAATGCACCTTACGACACTGGAAGACAGAAAAGTAAGGGGGGACATGATCACAACCTACAAAATCCTCAGGGGAATCGATCGGGTAAACAAGGATGAACTATTCAACACTGGAGGGACACGAACAAGGGGACACAGGTGGAAGCTGAGTACCCAAATGAGCCACAGAGACATTAGAAAGAACTTTTTCAGTGTCAGAGTAGTTAGTAAATGGAATGCACTAGGCAGTGATGTAGTGGAGGCTGACTCCATACACAGTTTCAAATGTAGATATGACAGAGCCCAGTAGGCTCAGGAATCTGTACATCAGTTGATAGACGGTTGAGAGGCGGACCAAAGAGCCAAAGCTCAACCTCGCAAACACAACTAGGTGAGTACACACACACACACACACACACACACACACACACACCAGTTGATTGACAGTTGAGAGGTGGGACCAAAGAGCCAAAGCTCAACCCCTGCAAGCACAATTAGGTGAGTACACACACACATACACAGTAAATGGAATGCATTAGGCAGTGATGCGGTGGAGGCAGACTCCATACACAGTTTCAAGTGTAGTTATGATAGAGCCCAATAGGCTCAGGAACCTGTATACCGTTGATTGACAGTTAAGAAGCGGGACAAAAGAGCCGAATGTCAACCCTCGCAAGTACAACTAGGCGAGTACATATACAAAGGACAAGTGTCACTGGGTTTGAAGAGATAAGTTTTGAGGAGAAAACCAATAACATGGACTATGTTGCAGGAATTATTTCGGTGGAAGGAAAACGTGGTTGCGGCTGTGATTTGCAACCCTCTCCCAGCCTCCTCCACCGAGAATCATCTGATCCCAGACAAAAACACAAGAATTCAAACAGAACTTGCATACATATCGTACTAATTGTAGTCCAATTTTCCGTCATATTCAGAGCAAAGCTCCTTGTAATGGGAGATTTCAACCATGAGCAAATAGACTTGGAATTATTGCGTCCGAAAGGAACTTGGGAAGGGTAGGGGGGCAGGAAGAAACATGAAAGGCAAAACTAGTAAAAGCTGCATTCACAACATGTCAGGGTGGAAGCACGGAGGAGAGGCGAACAACCACCAGCAAGATTGTATCTATAGTCTTCACACAAAGCCAGATAGACTTTTGGAGAACATTAAACACAAAATGCCAATGAGGGCCAAGCGGCCATTGGTATTTGATTATGGAGGTGTTATGAAGGCTGATGCAAAGAGGAAGAGAATAGGGGAATGGAAAACTTAGTTTTCCATGTTGGCGAGTAGCAGAAGGCAAGACAGCTCCTAGTTCTATCTCCCATGATATTCTCCAAGAGGATAAAGAGGAAGTATGATGGACTTCAATAACTACCCCATGATATTCTCCAAGAGGATAAAGAGGAAGTATGATGGACTTCAATAACTACCCATGATATTCTCCAAGAGGATAAAGAGGAAGTATGATGGACTTCAATAACTACCCCATGATATTCTCCAAGAGGATAAAGAGGAAGTATGATGGACTTCAATAACTACCCCATGATATTCTCCAAGAGGATAAAGAGGAAGTATGATGGACTTCAATAACTACCCAATGGTCACACACCAACACCAGGGGCGTACCATCAGAATAATGAGAGCTGTGTGAGCCATACTAGCAAACGTCCTGTTATCCTTCAGGAACTTGGACAAAAACACCTGAATGCTGAAAATATCCTTTGCGAGACTGAGTATGCTGCACGGACGTGGAACCCTTTTCCCAAAGAAATAAAACAATGAAAGTTCCAAAAACATGCAAGAAGGCTCATTCCTGAGGTAAAGGGACTGAGCTGTGAAAAAAGGAACTGGACCTCACGACACTGGAGGAAAAAACAAATAGGGTAGACATGGTAACGACGTACAAGATACAAAGAGCGACTGATAAAGTAAACATCTAATCAAGGTTTTAATGAAGGATCAGTAGAGAAAAAGGACATAGAAGGGAACTGGATACTTGTCAGAATAAGAGTCAAAAGGAACGGATTCGATGAAATTGTCGAAGCCAGTTTGATACACACCTTTAAAATATAAGAAAAACCGAGTGGAGGAAAAAAGGGTCACTGCACTAAGCTAATGATGGTTGACCGGCAGGGCTTAGGATCTGACTGGACTCTGCAAAGCACAATCAGGCGAATACACACACCTCGGTGGGGGAGGGAAGGAGGGAGGGATGCACCCCCACACAGAATGGATTTTATAGATGTAGGAGGTTGTGGGCTGTACCCCCACACACATATCAGCGCCCTCATGGGACCCATATCTGAATAGCGCAGCGCCCCATTGTTCTGAGCCCGACATATTCCACTAACAAACAGCACAGGTCACACTAACAACAGCCTAAGTAAGAGCTCTTGTTTGGACAGTTATGGAATTAATCCTCACCAGGTTTATTCCCGGAGCCCCTGATACTGTCCCCCGCTGGAGTTCAACGATGAACATTAGAGGCCAACGTGCTGTCCGCGCACGTTCACATGAACTGCTTGAAGGCAAATCTATAACTGGTGTAACGGGGTGTATATTACTTTAGGGGATGAAGTTGAACAATGTTGTTCATGCACTACTTCTTCATGCTTGAACAAGTCTTTATCTTTATCACCATTCATTTAATTTAATGATTAAAAAAAATCATCTATTTTGAATACTTGATTGTTTTATATTTTTCAGAGTAATTTATAGATATGAAAGAATAGGTATGTATCATCTTATTGCATAAATACTACCCTTATTTAACTATCAATAATCTTTTATATGTTTCGGATATTGTACAATATACATATAAATTACATATATAAGAAAGACCAGATATAAAAGTGCCTTTTTTATGCCTTAAAAAGGCCTAAAAAGGCGTTCACAATTGTTTTCAAATCTGTGGAAGCTTATGATGGAAAGATGGGTGAATGGCTTGAATAGAGCCCCTTGAGCTCCGTTCAAGGGGCTCTATTATGAATTAAGATTTAGTACTTTACCCATTAAAGCTCGGTAGAATTGTTAAGGATCGTGATTCATCAAAGACTGATTTACGAAACGTGTACTACTTTCCTCAATCGTGACGGCTTGATTTGCACTTATGGGAGAGCTTACGAACGGGCTACGAGGATGTCTTACAAAAGATAATACCCTTGAGCAGAGAGCGACCTCGCAGTTAAGATTTACAGGCTTCGTAAGTGATCTCGTTAACATTTGATGAATTCTGACCAAGGTTACTACTTGAATGCTTAAGAGTTATTGCTTGACACTGCTGAGTGATGGTTCACTGTTGGAGGTGTGGTGCGCCCGCTAGTAGGAGCTCCGGCTGGCGGTATAGCGGTGGCTGGTAGCGGCAGTATAGTATCGCCGTGTGGATACTATACTGCTAGATTTTTCTGCTGCAGTGGATTGGCCCATTGTGGAGATTGCTCTCCTTGACGTGCTCCGTGTGGACGTCTCTTATCTCTTGGGACTGGAGAAGCTATCGCCTACCCATGTGGCGGTGTCGTTTGCCACGTCCCTTGTATACTGGGAGTTCGTGGCGCGCTGGGATGCACGGTCACTTACTCCTTCTGATTTGGCTGTGACTGTGGAGATCTCAGATCCCTGGGGGCCCTTGACTTTTGTGAGTGTCCACGGTCTGCCGATGACCTTCCCTGAGGCAGAGCTCGTGTCCTTGTTTACGAGGTTTGGTGCAGTGGTGAAGCACAGGTTTACCACTTTGAGTGCTGGCCGGCTGAAGGGGATCCGTCTGGGTGCTCGTACGCTTCTCATGAGGGACATAGCTCTATTCCTTCTCGGGTTTCGTTTTGTGGACTCTCTCTGCGGATGTTCTGTCAGGGTCAGACGCTCACTTGTTTCCGGTGTGGTGCGGAAAGCCTCGTCGCGGCTGGCTGCAACGCTCCTCGTGCTGAGGCCCCTGCTGTTTTTCTGGAGGATGATTTTCCTCGCTTGTCTGTGTGTGAGGATTCCCCGGTGGGTCCTCGCTCTATGGTAGTGCCTGGTGTGGTTCCGGCGGCGGTTGCAGCTGTCGCTCCATCTGGCTCTGATCCGTCTGCCTTACCGGAAGCCCCTGCAGACCTGGGGGCCTCTGCTTCGGCTATGGAGCCTCCTACTGAGCACGGCCTGGTACCCCATGTGGTTGAGGATGCTGCTGTTCTGCGGACAGCGTCGGTTCACCCGGCTTGTGGTACCCCCGTGTCTCCGGGTCGACATCCGGCTCTGATTATGTGTGGCCGGAACCCAAGCGTTCTCGGCGTTCTTCTTCTGCCTGGGCTGATGTGGGAAATTTCGACGACTGTGGATCTTCCGGCTACGGCGGGGTAACTCCGGTTGTGTCGTTTTCTTCGGTGATGGCGGAGGTGCATGTGCCTGCAGCTGCCGATGTCAGTGTCTCGGACTTCCCTTCTGGTGTGGTGCCTGTGGATCTTGCTTAGGGTGCATCGGATGGTTCCGGTTCTTCGTGGGGGGTAAGTTTCCTCTGATGCGGTTCATGGTGAGCGTGGGTGACCTGGTAGTGGTGTTGAAAAAGGCTGCTCGCTCTGGGGGTTCCTTGCCCTTTTCCTCGTTCTCTGTTTCATCAGAGGCGGTCTTGCCGCCTCTTGAGTATCCGGCCATCTCTTCTGTATCTCCTGAGGTGTCAGTGGAAGTGTTACCGTCTCACCAACCTTTGCCTTTGTCTCGGCTGCCTTCGCCTTTGTTTCGGCTGCCTCCGCCTCCTGGGCGTCCGGCGGCGAGGCCGTCTCGGCAGCCTATGTCTACTTCTTCAGTGTCTTCTGCTTCCACGGAGGGGGTGGTTCGCCCTCTCCTGCCACGTTATGTGACCTGTGTCGCCCAGGTTCGGGAGCGGCCGTTTCCGCCTGATTTGGTGATTCCTGAGTTTATGCTGGCCCCGCAGGTGCAGGGAAATCATTCCCCTACCGAGAAGGAGAATTTGATATGGGAGGCCAATAAGAGGAAGTATCCTTAGGGTACTTGTAAAATGTCTTCTTATCCCGTGTTTTTTTCTTTGCTGCGTGTTGTGGCGGTGTTTACATTTGTGTTCATGGATGTGCAGTGGGGGTTGTGTGTGTGTGTGTGGGGGGGGGGGGGGCGGAGGTATTTTCCCGGTTCCTGCGTGCTCCGGGGTTTGTGGCTGTGGGTTTATTTTTGTTGGGAGAGGGGTTTGGGTGGTATGTATTGTACTGTTGTCATTTCTGTACTGTATTACATTGTGTTTGGGCTTATTGTTGTGTTTTTTGTTGTAGGCCCTTCCGGCCGGTATTTTGTAATTTTGTACTTTTGTACTTTTGTACTTTTGTGCTCTGCTTGTTTGTTCTAGTGTTACATCCCTTTATGCTGTGGGTGGTGGTTGTCTTTGTTATTTTTAGTTATTATTACTTATGTCTTATCTATGTTGTGTATTGTCTGTTTTCTATGTCATGTGCTGTTTGTAGTTCTGTATTGTTTGCGTATTGTACGCTTTCCTGTGCCTCCTTGTATGTGCATTATGTGTGTTTCATGGTTTTTTGTTGTATTGTTTCATGTGTTGGCACGAATGTTTGCATCTGTATGTTGTTCTTTCCTTGTTGACTGTCTTGTACATTTTTTATTGATATAAAAAAAAACTTGAATGCTTAACGGGCTGCGAGAGTCGGGTGAAGCTGCTCAGTAGTGAACACAGGTGTTGGATTAAGCTGGAGAACAGTGGGCATTTTGATGGTAGAATAAGCGTAGTAATAAAGCTGAATTTCCATCTCGATATCGGGGCTCAACTCGCCGGTATCTAGACAGATAGCAATGACAGCGTTATCAAACTTACAAACATTGGATAAACGGGCAGCCAAAGTGCTGTCAATCTCACAAACAACGGAGAAAGGAACCTGTAGTTAACGATGTTTCAATCCAACGAGCAACGGTGAGACTGAGCCTCCTGGAGGGGTTCAAACTCACCAATAACGGAGAGGTTGGAGATAAAGGTGAGCGTGGGGTTGATCCTGAAGTCAACCCTGCAGCGGTAGATGCCTTCGTCGGGAGTCTGCACTCGCAGGATGTTGAGGGCGTTCCTGGCCGCCTCGAAGGTGGCGCGGAGCCCCAGGTGGTCCGGACTCTTCCAGTGTGTCGCTGGACCGTTCCTCATGTCGTAGCTGCCGGCAGGAGACAAGCTATAGGTTACTAGGGTCAGTAGTTAGGGTCAGTAACTAGGGTGAGTTACAAGGGTGAGCTACTAGGGTCAGTAATTAGGGTGAGTTACTAGGGTGAGCTACTAGGGTCAGTAATTAGGGTCAGTAACTAGGGTGAGTTATTAGAGTCAGTTACTAGGGTGAGTTACTAGGGTCAGAAACTAGGGTCAGTAATTAGGGTCAGTAACTAGAGTGAGTTATTAGGGTCAGTAACTAGGGTGAGTTATTAGGATCAGTAACTAGGGTCAGTAATTAGGGTCATTAACTAGGCTGAGTTACTAGGGTCATTAACTAGGCTGAGTTACTAGGGTCATTAACTAGGGTGAGTTACTAGGGTCATTAACTAGGGTGAGTTACTAGGGTCAGTAACTAGAGTGAGTTACTAGGGTCAGTAATTAGAATCAGCAACTAGGGTGAGTTACTAGGTTCAGTAATTAGGGTCAGTAACTAGGGTGAGTTACTAGGGTCAGTAACTAGGATGAGGTACTAGAGTGAGCTACTACCTTACCTTGAGGGTTACCTTGAGGTGCTTCCGGGGCTTAGCGTCCCCGCGGCCCGGTCGTCGACCAGGCCTCCTGGTTGCCGGACTGATCAACCAGGCTGTTGGACGCGGCTGCTCGCAGCCTGACGTATGAGTCACAGCCTGGTTGATCAGGTATCCTTTGGAGGTGCTTATCCAGTTCTCTCTTGAACACTGTGAGGGGTCGGCCAGTTATGCCCCTTATGTGTAGTGAGTGTACTAGGGTGATTTACTAGGGTCAGTAACTAGGGTGAGCTACTAGGGTGAGTTACTAGGGTCAGTAACTAGGGTGAGCTACTAGGGTGAGTTACTAGGGTCAGAAACTAGGGTGAGTTACTAGGGGTGAGTTACTAGCGTGAGTTACTAGGGTGAGTTACTAGGGTCGTGGCCACTAGGGTGAGTTATTATAGTCAGTAACTAGGGTGAGTTATTATAGTCAGTAACTAGGGTGTTACTAGGGGTCAGCTACTATTGTGAGTTACTAGGGTCAGCTACTAGGGTGTTACTAGGGTGAGTTACTAGGGTGAGTTACTAGGGTCAGCTACTAGGGTGAGTTACTAGGGTGATCTACTAGGGGGCGTTATTAGGGTTAGCTACTAGGGTGAGTTACTAGAGTCAGCTACTAGGGTGAGTTACTAGGCTCAGCTACTAGGGTGAGTTACTTGGGTGAGTTACTAGGCTCAGCTACTAGGGTGAGTTACTAGGGTGAGTTACGAGGGTCAGCTACTAGGGTGAGTTACTAGGGCAAGCTACTAGGGTGCGTTACTAGGGTTAGCTACTAGGGTGAATTACTTGGGTGAGTAACTAGGCTTAGCTACTAGGGTGAGTTACTAGGATGAGTTACTAAGGTTAGCCACTAGGGTGCGTTACTAGGGTGAGTTACGAGGGTCAACTACTAGGGTGAGTTACGAGGGTCAACTACTACCCAACAAACACAAAACTTTTTTAAATTTTTCATATACGTGTTCCAATAGGTGTACGCATAACGTATTGAGAATGGTGCAGGAGAGCATTTGAGAAACTTTTAATCCAAAAATCATAGTATTTGGCCTCTCGCAGTGTGTAGCTAGCAGGGTGCAACATAGCATAGTCATATCGCTAGCGATAGTGCGAAGAAACCAAAGTGGAGCTAGTGGCATCACCGGTGCATATACAGTGTGGAGGATCGCATGGAGCGACCCTGACCTGAAAGGCCAGGTGGGACGACCCGCTGTGGAACTACCTGATTGTGTTTGTTGGGTGGTGACTGTGATCAGTGGTACAATAAATTAGTGAACTGTCACACAACGATACAGTGACTGACTCCAGAGCTTTGTGTAGATAGAGAAGAACTGACATCATCAATTAGTGAATCACCTAGTGGGAGACAACGACGGATAACCATCGTCATTATACATCCTCATTACTCATCTGGTTGTGTGAGCAGGAGGCAGACTGGTATGTACCCCCTCTCTGGTCAATTAATCAGGTGTACAGATTGAGGTAAATATTATCAAATTCTTGTTCAGGATAGTATATATATTTAAAAATCTCAAAGTTGCTCATCTTAGGTAGAGGTTAACACTTAAGGGAACTCGTGACACACACGCACGCCCGCCCACGTACGTATGCACACACACGCAAAAACACACACACACACGCACACACACACACACACACACAAACATTCAATCAGGGGAAAAAGGATTAACGCCTTCTGGGAAGGCGTTAATCCTTTAAATCGTTAATCCACCACTGTGACCACTGTGGTGGTCACTGTCCACAACAGTGTGGACAGTGACCACAACAGTGTGGACAGTGACCACCACCACACTACCACCACAGTGTGGACAGTGACCACCACCACACTACCACCACCATCCACACACCGCCTTGTGGAGCAGCCTGACTCCACACGCACGTGTCTCTCCAGAAGACACGCCATCACCACCCCTTCCCTCTCCCTCTCTCTCTCTTCCTCTCTCTCTCTCATCCCTTCCGCTCCACGGAAGGGCAAGAACCCCGCCAGTAAACGGATCCGACAGACCCAAACATCGAAGAAACACCGGGGGTTCACCGGGAGGTATTAAGGCAACAGGAGAAGGAGCAAGCGCAGCTGGCGGAAGTGAAGGGACCAGCAAGGGAGCATGAGGTGAGGCATGTACCTGCAGAGGAGAAGAAGCACGGAAAGGCGAGACATCCTGCGGGAGGGAAGAGGCCGTCCGCGGGGGTGGGGCCCCACACACCACCACCTCGTCATGCACACCACCTTCCGGACGCACCGGCACACCATCCGAGGAATCAGGTAACACCACAGGGTTAACAGGTGGCAAGGGAACCTCCCCACCCACACCATCACTAGGCGACAGGTCCTGTGCCACAACGGGGAAAAATCCTCTTTCCGGAATAAATTAATGGGTGCAGCTGCGATCCCAGTGCAAGCGGCCGCCTGGTGCTCCTTGAGGCCACAATGAAAACACTGTCATGGCTGTCCTGCATAAAATGCCCGTATAATGTACCCCATCAAGGTAACCGGAACCAGGTAACGGAACCGGGTAACCGAGTAACCTATGTAGATGGAACAGGAGACTTGAGCCGCAAGACGAGAGTCCGAGTCCTGCACGAGACCCCGCGCCACTTGCCGGAAGAGACTAATTTCATTTTGAGGGAAACCACCGTCCCAAACTGGCCAAAATACCTCCGTAGCAGGGCCTCCGAGAACTCCAAAGGTACACTATGCAGCGCAACATATGTAACAGCGGTCCGAAATAGTGACGGTACTACCGTCTCCAGAGAGCGTAAACGTCCGGCCGTCAAAGCTTGCCAGGATGTCCCGATAAACTGCCACAGAGTGAAACTTCACGAGTACCCTATGGGTCGTTAACAACTGGAGTTCGTACACGTCGGCCACACGAACACGTAGCAAATCCAGTAATACAATTTCCAATACAGGGTATGACGCTTGGGCAGAAAATTCAAGCCCAATTATTTCAGACCGACGAACAGCGAGTAGGGGGATCCACATGTCGCTGACACGCCAAACAGCGCCCACCCTCACACAGCCAGCACCAGGCAAGTACTCTGTTTACTGTTTAGTAACGTACGTGTCACTGTATGACTTATTGTTTCATGTTATATTTTGCCAACGTTGTACTACTGCCTTGTTGTGGTTGTGTGGTTCGTTGGTAGGTGAATTATTTGTCAGTTTCACATAAATAAAAGAACAAAAAGTAGCAAATGTTGTAATTTAGTTTTGGATGTATGGAATGAGTGAAATTATGAGGATTGTATTCATCATGATATGTTATCTCTGTCCATATTGAGTTTGTGTGTGATGTCTTATTGTTTTCAATACAGGGAGATCAATAGGCCTAATCCCGCTCTGTAAGGCTGTTTGTACTTGGTGTCGAGAATGTGTTCTAAGAGTTCTATCGTTTGTACATACTTCTGCAATTTTTGACATATAAAGAAAAATACAAAAGATATTTAACCTACATATCAATAAAGATAATTCCTACTGTTCGTATGACCAATCACTGAGGAGGTAACTTTGGCTCTCTCATCACGTGGGTAATGCCATTCCTGACAAAGCTCAGGAGAAGTTACCAATCACAGACGCTTTGTGTTAGCTGATTATTTACACGATTAGTTTCACGCATTCAAAGAGGCTTATATATTTTTTAAAGGGCGTATAAAGTTTACTTTAGTCCTTTGTGGTCAGGAATAATGTACTGTTGCTGTTGGTCAGTAATTAGGCTCTTGTGGAGGACTAATCATTCCCGCGGGTGATAATATGCCGGAAGGCAGGTGTGTATAGGGCAGTGTTGGTGTGTTTGTTGAGGGAAGTGTTGGTGTGTTTGTTGAGGGAAGTGTTGGTGTGTTTGTTGAGGGAAGTGTTGGTGTGTGTGTTGAGGGAAGTGTTGGTGTGTGTGTTGAGGGAAGTGTTGGTGTGTGTGTTGAGGGAAGTGTTGGTGTGTGTGTTGAGGGAAGTGTTGGTGTGTTTGTTGAGGGAAGTGTTGGTGTGTTTGTTGAGGGAAGTGTTGGTGTGTTTGTTGAGGGAAGTGTTGGTGTGTTTGTTGAGGGAAGTGTTGGTGTGTGTGTTGAGGGAAGTGTTGGTGTGTTTGTTGATGGAAGTGTTGGTGTGTTTGTTGATGGAAGTGTTGGTGTGTGTGTTGAGGGAAGTGATGGTGTGTGTGTTGATGGAAGTGATGGTGTGTGTGTTGATGGAAGTGTTGGTGTGTGTGTTGATGGAAGTGTTGGTGTGTGTGTTGAGGGAAGTGATGGTGTGTTTGTTGATGGAAGTGTTGGTGTGTTTGTTGATGGAAGTGTTGGTGTGTTTGTTGATGGAAGTGTTGGTGTGTGTGTTGAGGGAAGTGATGGTGTGTGTGTTGAGGGAAGTGTTGGTGTGTTTGTTGAGGGAAGTGTTGGTGTGTGTGTTGAGGGAAGTGTTGGTGTGTGTGTTGAG